CTTTTTAGATTAAATTATTTTAGAATTTAGATTTCCACAAATTTTTTTGTTAATCAGAAAATCCACGTTGAGGGTTGCACAACCCCTCTTACTGTGACAAGTCAACATTGAGAAGTATGACACTCCTTATGCACATTTGTCTTCTCTCAATGTAGGCATACCTGCCTTAAACGTACAGTATGTAATTTTTGGCCACCAGGGGTCGCTAATCTCTTACAATAACAAAGGCGTCTTTCGATGACGCCAAAGCATCAAGCGGAATTATGGATCTTGTCGTCAAGCTGATGGAGCTTTTATGGATGAGTGAATATAGTGAGGCTTTTAACATGATTTTGGTGTGAAGCAGGGCGCGCTTGCTAATGAGAGACACATACCAGCACCACACGCAACGCAAGTCCCGTGGATATAAAGGAATAAGAACATTTCATTCTACCGAACTACACGCAAATGCTGAATTAATAAGTTACTCAGAGGTAACTTATTAATTCAGCATTAGGCGAATTAAACTTGAGGTAATGCAGCGCTGTTTCACTTGCTCTAACAATTACGCTATCACACTAAATGGCATTCGAGTGTGTTGAATGTTGATAGTTAGACTAGGTTGTTTGTTGGCTGTATGTGATTAGCAGTAGCCTAAGCTAGATCAACATTAGAGTAACATACAGATCATATTCTCACATTTCATCATGTTGAACTAAAAAACATGGATTATTTTTTACTAAACAACATTGAAAAGTTAGCTCTCAGCATCTCGAAAGATTTTGATCTTTGTTCTAGTCCTATTTTTGTCTCAAAGTCTCCTTGCCGCCATGGTCCAAAATGTTTGAACAAAACAACAACAGAGTGAGCGTCCTGCTAAGCATAACCCAGTTGTCCATGTCTGTCACCATAGTCACTATGGCAGTACGAGCGGAAACCGAGGGTAATGCGGATATGATGCCACTGACTGGTGACTCCTCACCCCTGCTGACACGTCCCGTCTCCTTGGTTAAAATCACAATTTTCTCATGATTTACAAATAGTTGGAAACATTGGGGATATTGTAAGTAATCAACTAAACATTGGTAAATAACATTGGCCTCGTGCAGTGTTTCTCAAACTTTTTCTGCCATTCCCCACTTTGAAGGTAGGGAAGGGTTTGATACGATCAAATATTTGGATACGATCCAAATAACGGGGGCATTCAAAAAACTTTTAAGCAAATGCATGAAAAGGATAAGTAAGGCTTACATTTTAAGGTGTTGTTGTTTTGTTTTGACTTTATGCTCAATAAATAAAGGAAATAATAGAGATGGGCACAAAATGTACCACATTTTGTCGCGCCCCACTTGTCATGTTTATATTCCCCACCACTTTGAGAAACGCTGGCCTTGTGTTTTTTGGATATTTTACTGCAAAAATCCTACATATTGTACCTTTAAAGAGGTAAATCAGAAAAGTGCTCTTTCCTATTGCCCCAGTTTGTCAAGACACTGGTTTTCATCAATGCTGTAAAAGATGCTTGCTTGAAAAAAATTGATTATATCTTAATGAATTGAAAATAAATAAATAAATAAAAATCAATATCCATGTCCATTTGTTCAGATGTCTTTAGCATGAATGCTCCTAGTGCAGTCAGACCATCTCATGACATACTCTGAGAGTAAAGTGGGGTTGGCTTATAACATGTATAAAATATCAGCTACTGTATAAGACCAACTAGAAGCCTCTGCTAATAATTGAAAGCATGAGCAGTAATGCCTACTTGCCTTTAAGCAAGAACTTCTTGGTGTATCTCATGTCTCCTGATTAGGATTCATGGGTCAAGCTGTTTCTTTTCAAACCTATTAAGTCAATTTTTACGGTTAAATCCAGAGGTTTCCTTTTTGCTTGTTTTGTTTCATTGGCTTACACATTATACACTTTGTTGCTACTAGACCTCAAAGCTTGGGTCCTTTAGGTCCTCATTACAACTCAACAGTTAACAAAGATGTGTTCTATTTCATTGCTGTCTTGCACAAACACTTGCGGGATTATAAAGTATCTGCTTACATGGATCATCGCAGATCATATGATTTTGGGTGAGAGCCATACTTTAAGCAGATACCCTCCAAATATTAATTTAGGATAGTGTCATGGTATATACTCTTGTGAGAGTTGAAGGTTGTCTGTTTGGTCGTTTGAGATGTGTCACAAATAATGTATTAGACACTTGTTTAGTGGCATGTTATGTGCCACTGTTGCCTCTCATTGTTCCACTTTTCAGACATGGATGTGCAGATGTGCCCCCCCCCCCCCATTCACAGAGTTTGCTCCTCCTGAGGTGCATTACGAGGAACCTGTCAGAGCTGTGAGAACAATTGCTGCACAAATAGCACTGTAGATAGTTTTAAAAAAAGGGTGAAGGAAGTGGAACATGTATTCAGTGGTGGTACAAGATTGAGTGCAGGGTGTGGCATCATGTTAAAAGGGATAGGTAACCAAACTGTTGACGGTAGCCATTGGCTTCCATAGTAGGCTTCCAAAAAATAAACTATATGGAAGTGGATGGTTACCGTCAACTATCTGGTTACCAACTTTAAAACAATTTATTTTGTGTTCAGCAGAAGAAAGAAACTCATGCAGGTTTCAACAACTTGAGGGTGAGTTGGTAATAACAACATTTTCATTTTTGGGTGAACTATCCCTTTAAGAGGCTGAACATCTAACAAGCTGGGAGTGAAATAATAAGCTTTTGCAGTGCTGGCTAGGGAGTTCTTGAGTACACAGCACTGTAGGTTTTCCCCTTCTCCTTTCATAAATACTCGCTTTAGCCAACAATAATAAGGATATTTTCCTGGCTTTGGTTTTTACAGCTTCCATGTCTCATCTTTTACATTTCTCCTACTTTGGACTTTGTTTTACTGAAATTGCATGCATACTGTAAACAATTATATGATCAATAAGTTATGGCAACACATGCTTTTACTCAAAAGCTTGAAGCAAAAAGTTATAATTGCATAACTTATTTTGATAACAAGCTCCACTGAATTTTAAGTCAGACTCAAGTCAGTTTGATGTAATTCAGGTTGAAATGACTTCAACATCCAAGTTGATTGTATACTAAATTTAAGGCAGCAACTTTTTTCCTTTTTTTTCTTTTTTTTTTTACAGTAGGGAGTTCTGATATCCATTAAGTGCAAAATATTGTGCTGCATGTGTTGCTGCATGTGTGATGCGATTTACATTTCTTTAAGAATTTGTAATTTAACAACCTGTGACAGTCACATAATACAATCTAATATACAAGCCTTGTAATGTTTCATTGCATCGCAGTTTTTTTGTTTTTTTATCTTCAGTGTTGTTTATAATATTGAGGCTGTCTATCCCCTTAATATTTGTCGTCCTCTCTAATTGTGTACAATTCAAATGCTTTGCAAATGTTTTGTGGTCTGTTCCATATCGAGGGAAGACCGAGACTCTCAAATGATCTTTTCTGTACCGTCATGCCCTGTCTTGCCTGGAGAACAATGGTCTACATGGACTCAAAAACAGGCCTCTTTCTCCCCATATTTAGTGGGAGGCAAGTGTTATTTATAATTTAGGGGGGAGGGAATGTTCTCATTCTAGAAAGTAAACAGAATTTCTCCTGTCCATTATGATGAATCTTTTTAGAGTCCCTATTCCCAGAAGAGAGACTATACATTTTAAAAGGATAAACTTATAAAGGTGAATTATCAACTTTTAGAATTAGTGTCTTATTTAAGAAAATAAGAAATGAACTAAGATGAACTAATATAGACAGGCTAAAAGACAGAATAAAAGCAACAACTTTAACTAAGTTTTTTTTTTTTTAATTCTTGAATAACCATAAACCTTTGGAGTTCCTTGACCATTGCTGAAAGAGTAAATATATTTAAATTTATATTTTAACTTTATCTGTCATTGCTCAGTTTCATGAATAGTTTAGAGTTTCAGCCTTCAATATTTTCAAGCATTGTATTCACACATTGAATTTTGAGTGTACATTGCTTCGGTAATCCATTAAGGTCTAGGTCAGGCTTTTTTTTCAGAAATGGGTATACTTTCTACTTTCAAGGGAGCATTCAGGCTACTGAATGCTCCATTGATCACATGAGACAAAGCTTCTGCATTTTAGTCTACAGAATTGACTTTAGTTGTGCTTGGCTTTTGCTACAACAATTCTTTTTTTTTTTTTTTTTTAAGCAATGTGCTGCTAATGGCTATGTACTTTTTTTTTTCTCTTTCATCATGTGGCCAGTTTCTCATTATTTCCTCAGATTCTAGAGATTTCAAAATTCTGGATCTAATTAGATATTTTTTATCTGAAATGTTCTTTTATATTTATATTGTTACTGCTATTGCATGCAGTTTTTTTCGAGATACAAGAAAATAAATTCAGTGCCACTGTATCAAATACATAATTTATAATTGAAATGAACAAACTTTATTTAAAAAATGTTTAGTGAAGTATGCAAGTAGGTGTTTTCATATCCAAAAGGTCCTGTGTAATTGTAGTGTGGATGATTGTGAGGGGGTGATATCTCTAAAAACAAATAACTTATTGTTTTAGAAAGCTGGAATGCCAGGCCCACGTCAGCTAAATAACGCCATGTTAAGCAATGCTCATCAAGTAAAAACCTCTCTGCTCTGCAAGCTACTGTTTGATATTCATTTTAAGCATATCAAACGGTTTTAAAAATGTTTAAGCTGTATATTAAACTGAACGTAATAGTTTTAGTGACTGTAGCGTTTGGCCTATTTGCAATACATAAGAAGTTATTGCTCTTGTTGTGAAGTGTTTTATGCTGTTCAGTGCTTTGCCTTTATGCTGAAGAAATACATGGGATACAGATCTGTTCAAACTAGAAAGATGTGTGAAGTTCCCAAAGAGAAATCATGCTTGTTTAATCAACTTTTTTTGGAGATTGTACTGCCATCTAGTGGTCACAGGTTGATCCTCATTTACAGTTGTTTTTTTGTTTTTTTTTTTGTGTGTGTGTGTGTGTGTGTCTATTAAGGAAAGAACAAGTGCTGACACGGTCCACACTAGGGGGCAGGCGAAGAAGCAACGCATTTTGAGGTATTCTGAATGGATAGATGCACGTTATAGCTATGTGATGTTAATAGCTACATGTAATTTACAGCATAGCAATTGTTAAAGTTTTGTATAACATTTTTAGATAATTGCTTGTGCTAATTTATAACTCAATCAAAACTACACATTAGGCAACATATACCTAGTATATTTGGTATTGTATTATAATAGTTATACGGTTTCAATGTATAATGTGTAATGTTTTCTCATTTTATTTATTCATGGATTATTTATTTATTTATTTATTTTTTTTTTAAAGATGGCTGACGAGAAGGAAACAAGGGAAGTGCTTTACCCACAGTGGATGGGCCCTGACAAGCATGGGCTCACCATAGAACAAAAAGGTCAAGGAGAGATTTTTGTCACAGAGGTTAAAGAAGAGTCCCCTGCTGCTCATACTGGAAATGTATACGAAGGTATGTAGTTAAAATAACCCTGCATGTTCTGATGGATTGTGCAAACATTTTAAAAATCGTATTTTCTAATGTTTCTAGAATGTTTGATACTTAGAGCAACATTTGAGTGGCATTGCCTTTGTTGGTGTTGAGCTATTGTCTGTGAGCTAATGCTCTTTTAGTTCTTCCAAATACAATTTTCATATTGTTTAGTTTGAACTTTCCATGTACTGCCCTTTGTAACAGGTGACCAAATTGTGGGGGCCACCATTTACTTTGACAACATGAGCTCAGAAGAAACAGCTGAGCTACTGAAGACTCTAAATCGACATAAGGTTGGACTAAAATTACAAAACAGGACTGGAGACAAGTCACCTTGCCGCTCTCCAATGGGAACATTGTCGTGGGAAGGACGTGGAGGGTTAGGAGGGTCTAGTTCAGACATTCTCCTGGTAATGTGACCTCAGTTGTTGGTCCATATGTTATATGGTGCCAGCACCATGACCATGTGAACCACACATTCTATTAATTTTAAATGTTGTTATTCAGTATTGGTACACATTGAACAAACATTGTTACAGTCAGTGTCAACTGATTTCATCAGTATTTCCATATTTAACTAATTTAACTTTTATTTGTATATTTGTTTCTTACATTTAAATTTCACACAGACATGGAATATCATACTTATATTGTAATTCCTTTACTTTAGAGTGGAGATGACGAAGACTACAAAAGAATCTTCACTAAGAAGATTAAACCTAGACTGAAGTCTGAGGATCTTGCTGAGGGTGTTGATGTGCGTACAGAGCGTCACAGCAGCACAAGCAGTGATGGTTGCACCGTTACTACAATCACCCGAAGAATAACTACCTACACTGTGGACATGCCGGGGGGGACTAGTCAGCAGATTGATTCCACAAGCCCTGAGTTCAAAATGCAGGTCTTGCAGCATGAGCAGTCGGAGGGGGATTCTTCTCAAATCAGATTACCACATAGTAACCTTGTTAGCAGTGCACACGGAGGTATAAAAATGGGGGACATATCTGTTGGCGGGCCCCATATCACTGGCTCCTCTGTGAAGCACTGTAGCACAGGATCTATCACAGCAACAAGTGAATTAGATGGTAGTGGGAGAGAGATTGCATTTAATGTGTCAGACACTGGATTGTCAGGGGGGAAAGGACAGAGGATGATAGAACGTTTTGGAAGGACTGAAACTTCTACAGGCAGTAGTAATCTCTCTGGCAAAGTAACCATGGGGTTAGACAAAGAAGTGGGAAATGTTTCTTCTCCAATGGAAGCTGGTTTTAAAGCATCAAGTGTGATACGAGAAACTGGGTTTGCTACAGTTAAGGGCCCTGTTCCGAACACTCGTGTTTCAGGTTTTTCCATTAGTGGAGATTCAGGGGGCAGTTTTGGCAGGGAATCTTTGTCTGAAACGCTTAAGGATGGGTCTGATGATAAAACCAAATTGTCTAAATTTAGCGTAGATGTTCAAGGGCCCAAGGTAAATATTAAACATCCTAAAGCTGAAATCAGCCAGGGTTCGGATTTTGCCATCCCAGATCTAGACGCTAAAGGCAAGTTACCAAAAGTCGAAACTAGTGGATCAGTTGTTCACGCAGAGGAAATTGATGGTGAACTCAGAATATCCCATGTGAAAGAACCACAATTTCAAACTAAACAGTTTACTGTAGAAAGTCCTAATGTAGAAGTAAATCAAAATCTTAAAGATGTTAGTCAAAGAGGTTTTAGCGTAACTGGCAATCAGGATCTGTCAGCTTCATCATTTAGAGTGAAAGGCACTAATTTGGAGGGCTCCAATTTGGGCACTGATGTAAAACTGTCCTCATTTGGACTTGAAGGTCCAAAGTTTCAGGCAACTGATACAGTAGGAAGTCTCCCCGGAGCTAATGTTAAAATTACACAACCAGATATGGACATCAGGGGTCCAGAAAAACACACTGAAGGACATGAGGGTAAAGTCAAAGAAGCCAAATTTAATGTGCCATCGATCTCTGGTCAGGGAACTTATATGCCACATGTAGACTTAAACCTGAAAGGACAAAAAGTGAAAGGAGATGTTAATGTGTACGTTCCAAAAGTTGAAGATCGTGAGAGTGCTAAGGGTGACTTTACGGTTTCAAAGGTAAAAATGCCCTCATTTGGCATGAAAAGTTCAGAAGAGAAGGGTTCAAATATTGATGTAAATCTTGGAAAAGCAGAAATGGAGATTAAAGCAAAAGATGTAGATATCAATACTCTAGATCTTAACATTGAGGGATGTGATAGGCAAGTTAAAGACAGCAATGAAAAGATAACATCAATTTCCGGTCCAACAGTTTCTTTACCTGATGCGAACTTAAATGTGAAGGGGCCAACACAGAACGTCTCCACTCTAAAAGTGAAAGGAGATATTAAAGCATCGAAAGTTGAAATTGAAGGCCCTGACACTGAGGATTTTGAGGGTGCTTTTAAGCTACCAAAAATCAAGATGCCCTCCTTTGGAATCAAAGGTCCTAAAGTGGAGGCACCTGATGTTGACATAAATCTTCCCAAAGCAGACATGGAAATTAAAGCTCCAGATGTGGATATCAAGGGTCCCGAGATGGAAAAATCTGATGAAAAAATCAAGAGCTCCAAATTCAAGATGCCATCAATCTCCGGTCCAAAGATTTCCATGCCAGATGTGGACTTCAACCTGAAAGGCCAAAAACTTAAGGGTGATGTTAATGTGTCTGTTCCAAAAGTGGAAGGAGTCATTAAACCTCCTAAAGTCAATATTGAAGGTGCAGACCTTGAAGGTCCTGATGGTGAGTTTAAGATGCCAAAAATGAAAATGCCATCATTTGGTATCAAAGGTCAAAAAGTGGAGGGTCCAGATATAGACGTGAAAATCCCAAAAGCCAATATTGAGGTTAAGGCACCAGATGTGGATATTAAAGCTCCAGAGCTTGACATTGAAGGACCTGAGGGAAAAATTAAGGGCCCCAAATTCAAGATGCCATCAATCTCCGGTCCAAATATTTCCATGACGGATGTGGACCTGAAAGGCCCCAAACTTAAGGGTGATATTGATGTGTCTGTTCCAAAAGTAGAAGGAGATATAAAAGCTCCAAAAGTCAAAATTGAAGGCCCAGACCTTGAGGGCCCTGAGGGTGGGTTTAAGATGCCAAAGATCAAAATGCCATCATTCGGAGTTAAAGGTCCAAAAGTGGACGGTTTAGACGTTGATGGGAAAGTCTCAAAAGCCGATATTGAGGTTAAGGCACCATATGTAGATATCAAAACTCCAGAGCTTGACATTGAAGCAGCTGAAGGAAATATCAAGGGCCACAAAGTCAAGATGCCATCACTTTCTGGTCCAAATATTACCATGCCAGATGTGGACTTCAACCTTAAAGGTCCAAAACTGAAAGGAGAAGTTGACGTGTCCGTTCCAAAAGTTAAAGGTGACATCAACGCACCAAAAGTTGAAATTGAAGGCCCAGACCTTGAAGGTCCTGAAGGTGGTTTTAAGATGCCAAAGATAAAAATGCCATCATTTGGAGTTAAAAGTCCTAAAGTGGAGGGCCCAGATGTTGACATCAATCTCCCAAAAGCAGATGTTAATGTTAAAGGACCTGAAATTGACATCAAAACGCCTGATCTTAACATTGAGGGACCTGAGGGAAAAATCAAGGGCCCCAAGATCAAAATGCCATCTATGTCTGGCCCAAAGATTTCCATGCCAGATGTAGACTTCAATCTGAAAGGCCCAAAACGCAAAGGTGATGTTGATGTGTCCATTCCAAATGTGGAAGGAGATATTACAGCCCCAAAAGTTGAAATTGAAGGCCCAGAACTTGAGGGTCCTGAGGGTGGTTTTAAGATGCCAAAGATCAAAATGCCATCATTTGGAGTTAAAGGTACTAAAGTGGAGGGCCCAGATGTTGACATCAATCTCCCAAAAGCAGACGTTAAAGGCCCTGAAATTGACATCAAATCTCCCGATCTTAACATTGAGGGATCTGAGGGAAAAATCAAGGGCCCCAAGTTCAAAATGCCATCTATATCTGGCCCAAAGATTTCTATGCCAGATGTTGACTTCAACCTGAAAGGCCCAAAACGCAAAGGTGATGTTGATGTGTCCATTCCAAAAGTGGAAGGAGATATTAAAGCACCAAAAGTTGAAATTGAAGGCCCAGACCTTGAGGGTCCTGAGGGTGGTTTTAAGATGCCAAAGATAAAAGTGCCATCATTTGAAGTTAAAGGTCCTAAAGTGGAGGGCCCAGATATTGACATCAATCTCCCAAAAGCAGATGTTAAAGGACCTGAAATTGACATCAAAACTCCTGATCTTAACATTGAGGGACCTGATGGAAAAATCAAGGGCCCCAAATTCAAAATGCCATCAATCTCTGGTCCAAAAATTTCAATGCCAGATGTTGACTTCAACCTGAAAGGCCCAAAACTCAAAGGTGATGTTGATGTATCAGTTCCAAAAGTTAAAGGTGACATCAAAGCACCAGAAGTAGATATCAAGGGTCCTGAGCTTGATATTGAGGGTCCTGAGGGAAAAACTAAGGGCCCCAAATTCAAAATGCCTTCTATGTCTGGCCCAAAGATTTCTATGCCAGATGTTGACTTCAACCTGAAAGGCCCAAAACTCAAAGGAGATGTTGATGTGTCCATTCCAAAAGTGGAAGGAGAGATTAAAGGACCAAAAGTTGAAATTGAAGGACCAGACCTTGAGGGCCCCGAGGGTGGTTTTAAGATGCCAAAGTTCAAAATGCCATCATTTGGAGTTAAAGGTCCTAAAGTGGAGGGCCCAGATGTTGACATCAATCTCCCAAAAGCAGATGTTAATGTTAAAGGTCCTGAAATTGACATCAAATCTCCCGATCTAAACATTGAGGGACCTGAGGGAAAAATCAAGGGCCCCAAGTTCAAAATGCCATCTATGTCTGGCCCAAAGATTTCTATGCCAGATGTGGACTTCAACATGAAAGGCCCAAAACTCAAAGGTGATGTTGATGTGTCCATTCCAAAAGTGGAAGGAGATATTAAAGCACCAAAAGTTGAAATTGAAGGCCCCGACCTTGAGGGTCCTGAGGGTGGTTTTAAGATGCCAAAGTTCAAAATGCCATCATTTGGAGTTAAAGGTCCTAAAGTGGAGGGCCCAGATGTTGACATTAATCTACCAAAAGCAGATGTTAATATTGAAGGACCTGCAATTGACATCAAAACGCCTGATCTTAACATTGAGGGGCCCGAGGGAAAAATCAAGGGCCCCAAATTCAAAATGCCATCTATGTCTGGCCCAAAGATTTCTATGCCAGATGTTGACTTCAACCTGAAAGGTCCAAAACTCAAAGGTGATGTTGATGTATCAGTTCCAAAAGTTAAAGGTGACATCAAAGCACCAGAAGTAGATATCAAGAGTCCAGAGCTTGATATTGAGGGTCCTGAGGGAAAAATCAAGGGCCCCAAATTCAAAATGCCATCTATGTCTGGCCCAAAGATTTCTATGCCAGATGTTGACTTCAACCTGAAAGGCCCAAAACTCAAAGGAGATGTTGATGTGTCCATTCCAAAAGTGGAAGGAGATATTAAAGCACCAAAAGTTGAGATTGAAGGACCAGACCTTGAGGGTCCCGAGGGTGGTTTTAAGATGCCAAAGTTCAAAATGCCATCATTTGGAGTTAAAGGTCCTAAAGTGGAGGGCCCAGATGTTGCCATCAATCTCCCAAAAGCAGATGTTAATGTTAAAGGTCCTGAAATTGACATCAAAACTTCCGATCTTAACATTGAGGGACCTGAAGGAAAAATCAAGGGTCCCAAGTTCAAAATGCCATCTATGTCTGGCCCAAAAATTTCTATGCCAGATGTGGACTTCAACCTGAAAGGCCCAAAACTCAAAGGTGATGTTGATGTGTCCATTCCAAAAGTGGAAGGAGATATTAAAGCACCAAAAGTTGAAATAGAAGGCCCAGACCTTGAGGGTCCCGAGGGAGGTTTTAAGATGCCAAAATTCAAAATGCCATCATTTGGAGTTAAAGGTCCTAAAGGGGAGGGCCCAGATGTTGACATCAATCTCCCAAAAGCAGATGTTAAAGGACCTGAAATTGACATCAAAACTCCTGATCTTGACATTGAAGGACCTGAGGGAAAAATCAAGGGCCCCAAGTTCAAAATGCCATCTATGTCTGGCCCAAAGATTTCTATGCCAGATGTTGACTTCAACCTGAAAGGCCCAAAACTCAAAGGTGATGTTGATGTGTCCATTCCAAAAGTGGAAGGAGATATTAAAGCACCAAAAGTTGAAATTGAAGGCCCAGACCTTGAGGGTCCCGAGGGAGGTTTTAAGATGCCAAAATTCAAAATGCCATCATTTGGAGTTAAAGGTCCTAAAGGGGAGGGCCCAGATGTTGACATCAATCTCCCAAAAGCAGATGTTAAAGGACCTGAAATTGACATCAAAACTCCTGATCTTGACATTGAAGGACCTGAGGGAAAAATCAAGGGCCCCAAGTTCAAAATGCCATCTATGTCTGGCCCAAAGATTTCTATGCCAGATGTGGACTTCAACCTGAAAGGCCCAAAACTCAAAGGTGATGTTGATGTGTCCATTCCAAAAGTGGAAGGAGATATTAAAGCACCAAAAGTTGAGATTGAAGGACCAGACCTTGAGGGTCCCGAGGGTGGTTTTAAGATGCCAAAGTTCAAAATGCCATCATTTGGAGTTAAAGGTCCTAAAGTGGAGGGCCCAGATGTTGCCATCAATCTCCCAAAAGCAGATGTTAATGTTAAAGGTCCTGAAATTGACATCAAAACTTCCGATCTTAACATTGAGGGACCTGAAGGAAAAATCAAGGGTCCCAAGTTCAAAATGCCATCTATGTCTGGCCCAAAAATTTCTATGCCAGATGTGGACTTCAACCTGAAAGGCCCAAAACTCAAAGGTGATGTTGATGTGTCCATTCCAAAAGTGGAAGGAGATATTAAAGCACCAAAAGTTGAAATTGAAGGCCCAGACCTTGAGGGTCCCGAGGGAGGTTTTAAGATGCCAAAGTTCAAAATGCCATCATTTGGAGTTAAAGGTCCTAAAGGGGAGGGCCCAGATGTTGACATCAATCTCCCAAAAGCAGATGTTAAAGGACCTGAAATTGACATCAAAACTCCTGATCTTGACATTGAAGGACCTGAGGGAAAAATCAAGGGCCCCAAGTTCAAAATGCCATCTATGTCTGGCCCAAAGATTTCTATGCCAGATGTTGACTTCAACCTGAAAGGCCCAAAACTCAAAGGTGATGTTGATGTGTCCATTCCAAAAGTGGAAGGAGATATTAAAGCACCAAAAGTTGAAATTGAAGGCCCAGACCTTGAGGGTCCCGAGGGAGGTTTTAAGATGCCAAAATTCAAAATGCCATCATTTGGAGTTAAAGGTCCTAAAGGGGAGGGCCCAGATGTTGACATCAATCTCCCAAAAGCAGATGTTAAAGGACCTGAAATTGACATCAAAACTCCTGATCTTGACATTGAAGGACCTGAGGGAAAAATCAAGGGCCCCAAGTTCAAAATGCCATCTATGTCTGGCCCAAAGATTTCTATGCCAGATGTGGACTTCAACCTGAAAGGCCCAAAACTCAAAGGTGATGTTGATGTGTCCATTCCAAAAGTGGAAGGAGATATTAAAGCACCAAAAGTTGAAATTGAAGGCCCAGACCTTGAGGGTCCCGAGGGAGGTTTTAAGATGCCAAAATTCAAAATGCCATCATTTGGAGTTAAAGGTCCTAAAGGGGAGGGCCCAGATGTTGACATCAATCTCCCAAAAGCAGATGTTAAAGGACCTGAAATTGACATCAAAACTCCTGATCTTGACATTGAAGGACCTGAGGGAAAAATCAAGGGCCCCAAGTTCAAAATGCCATCTATGTCTGGCCCAAAGATTTCTATGCCAGATGTGGACTTCAACCTGAAAGGCCCAAAACTCAAAGGTGATGTTGATGTGTCCATTCCAAAAGTGGAAGGAGATATTAAAGCACCAAAAGTTGAAATTGAAGGCCCAGACCTTGAGGGTCCCGAGGGAGGTTTTAAGATGCCAAAATTCAAAATGCCATCATTTGGAGTTAAAGGTCCTAAAGGGGAGGGCCCAGATGTTGACATCAATCTCCCAAAAGCAGATGTTAAAGGACCTGAAATTGACATCAAAACTCCTGATCTTGACATTGAAGGACCTGAGGGAAAAATCAAGGGCCCCAAGTTCAAAATGCCATCTATGTCTGGCCCAAAGATTTCTATGCCAGATGTGGACTTCAACCTGAAAGGCCCAAAACTCAAAGGTGATGTTGATGTGTCCATTCCAAAAGTGGAAGGAGATATTAAAGCACCAAAAGTTGAAATTGAAGGCCCAGACCTTGAGGGTCCTGAGGGAGGTTTTAAGATGCCAAAGTTCAAAATGCCATCATTTGGAGTTAAAGGTCCTAAAGTGGAGGGCCCAGACATTGACATCAATCTCCCAAAAGCAAATGTTGATGTTAAAGGACCTGAAATTGACATCAAATCTCCTGATCTTGACATTGAGGGACCAGATGGGAAAATCAAAGGTCCCAAGTTCAAAATGCCTTCTATATCTGGTCCAAAAATCTCTATGCCAGATGTTGATTTCAACCTGAAAGGTCCAAAATTGAAAGGTGATGTTGATGTATCGGTTCCAAAAGTTAAGAGTGACATCAAAGCACCAGAAGTAGATATCAAGGGCCCAGAGCTTGACATTCAGGGTCCTGATGGAAAAATCAAGGGCCCCAAATTCAAAATGCCATCTATGTCTGGCCCAAAGATTTCTATGCCAGATGTTGACTTCAACCTGAAAGGTCCAAAACTCAAAGGTGATGTTGATGTGTCTATTCCTAAAGTGGAAGGAGATATTAAAGCACCAACAGTTGAAATTGAAGGCCCAGACCTTGAGGGTCCCGAGGGAGGTTTTAAGATGCCAAAGTTCAAAATGCCATCATTCGGAGTTAAAGGTCCTAAAGTGGAGGGTCCAGATGTTGACATCAATCTCCCAAAAGCAAAAGTTGATGTTAAAGGGCTTGAAATTGACATCAAAACTCCTGATGTTGACATTGAGGGACCCGAGGGGAAAATCAAAGGTCCCAAATTCAAAATGCCTTCCATATCTGGTCCAAAAATATCTATGCCAGATGTCGATTTCAATCTGAAAGGTCCAAAACTTAAAGGTGATGTTGATGTGTCCATTCCAAAAGTGGAAGGAGATATTAAAGCACCAAAAGTTGAAATTGAAGGCCCAGACCTTGAGGGTCCTGAGGGAGGTTTTAAGATGCCAAAGTTCAAAATGCCATCATTCGGAGTTAAAGGTCCTAAAGTGGAGGGTCCAGATGTTGACATCAATCTCCCAAAAGCAAATGTTGATGTTAAAGGGCCTGAAATTGACATCAAAACTCCTGATGTTGACATTGAGGGACCTGAGGGGAAAATCAAGGGTCCCAAATTCAAAATGCCTTCCATATCTGGTCCAAAAATATCTATGCCAGATGTCGATTTCAATCTGAAAGGTCCAAAACTTAAAGGTGATGTTGATGTATCAGTTCCAAAAGTTAAAGGTGACATCAAGGCACCAGAAGTAGATATCAAGGGCCCAGAGCTTGACATTGATGGTCCTGAGGGAAAAATCAAGGGCCCCAAGTTCAAAATGCCATCTTTGTCTGGTCCAAAGATTTCTATGCCAGATGTTGACTTTAACCTGAAAGGCCCAAAACTCAAAGGAGATGTTGATGTATCCATTCCAAAAGTGGAAGGGGATATTAAAGCACCAAAAGTTGAAATTGAAGGACCAGACTTTGAGGGTCCTGAGGGAGGTTTTAAAATGCCAAAGTTCAAAATGCCATCATTTGGAGTTAAAGGTCCTAAAGTGGAGGGCCCAGATGTTGACATCAATCTTCCAAAAGCAAATGTTGATGTTAAAGGACCTGAAATTGACATCAGAACTCCTGATCTTGACATTGAGGGACCTGAGGGAAAAATCAAGGGCCCCAAATTCAAAATGCCATCAATCTCCGGTCCAAAAATTTCTATGCCAGATGTTGATTTCAACCTGAAAGGCCCGAAACTCAAAGGAGACGTTGATGTGTCCATTCCAAAATTGGAAGGAGATATTAAAGCACCAAAAGTTGAAATTGAAGGACCAGAACTTGAGGGTCCTGAGGGAGGTTTTAAGATGCCAAAGTTCAAAATGCCATCATTTGGAGTTAAAGGTCCTAAAGTGGAGGGCCCAGATGTTGACATCAATCTTCCAAAAGCAAATCTTGATGTTAAAGGACCTGAAATTGACATCAAAAATCCTGATCTTGACATTGAGGGACCTGAGGGGAAAATCAAGGGCCCCAAATTCAAAATGCCTTCAATCTCTGGTCCAAAAATTTCTATGCCAGATGTTGACTTCAACCTCAAAGGCCCAAAACTCAAAGGAGATGTTGATGTGTCCATTCCAAAAGTGGAAGGAGATATTAAAGCACCAAAAGTTGAAATTGAAGGACCAGACCTTGAGGGTCCCGAGGGTGGTTTTAAGATGCCGAAGTTCAAAATGCCATCATTTGGAGTTAAAGGTCCTAAAGTGGAGGGCCCAGATGTTGACATCAATCTCCCAAAAGCAAATGTTGATGTTAAAGGACCTGAAATTGACATCAAAACTCCTGATCTTGACATTGAGGGACCTGAGGGAAAAATCAAGGGCCCCAAATTCAAAATGCCATCAATCTCTGGTCCAAAAATTTCTATGCCAGATGTTGACTTCAACCTGAAAGGCCCCAAACTCAAAGGAGATGTTGATGTATCCATTCCAAAAGTGGAAGGAGCTATTAAAGCACCAAAAGTTGAAATTGAAGGACCAGACTATGAGGGTCCTGAGGGAGGTTTTAAGATGCCAAAGTTCAAAATGCCATCATTTGGAGTTAAAGGTCCTAAAGTGGAGGGCCCAGATGTTGACATCAATCTCCCAAAAGCAAATGTTGATGTTAAAGGACCTGAAATTGACATCAAAACTCCTGATCTTGACATTGAGGGACCTGAGGGAAAAATCAAGGGCCCCAAATTCAAAATGCCATCAATCTCCGGTCCAAAAATTTCAATGCCAGATGTTGACTTCAACCTGAAAGGCCCAAAACTCAAAGGTGATGTTGATGTATCAGTTCCAAAAATTAAAGGAGACATTCAATTACCGGAAGTAGATCTCAAGGGCCCAGAGCTTGACATTGAGGGTCCTGAGGGGAAAATCAAGGGCCCCAAATTCAAAATGCCATCTATGTCTGGACCAAAGATTTCTATGCCAGATGTTGACTTTAACCTGAAAGGCCCAAAACTCAAAGGAGATTATGATGTGTCCGTTCCAAAAGTGGAAGGAGATATTAAAGCACCAAAAGTTGAAGTTGAAGGCCCAGACCTTGAGGGTCCTGAGGGAGGTTTTAAGATGCCCAAGTTCAAAATGCCATCATTTGGAGTTAAAAGTCCTAAAGTGGAGGGTCCAGATGTTGACATCAATCTCCCAAAAGCAAATGTTGATGTTAAAGGGCCTGAAATTGACATCAAAACACCTGATCTTGACATTGAGGGACCTGAGGGAAAAATCAAGGGCCCCAAGTTCAAAATGCCATCAATCTCCGGTCCAAAAATTTCTATGCCAGATGTTGACTTCAACCTGAAAGGCCCAAAACTTAAAGGAGATGTTGATGTGTCAGTTCCAAAAGTTAAAGGAGACATTAAAGCACCAGAAGTAGATATCAAAGGCCCAGAGCTTGACTTTGAAGGACCTGAAGGAAAAATCAAGGGTCCCAAATTCAAGATGCCATCAATCTCTGGTCCTAAAATCTCTATGCCAGATGTTGACTTCAACCTGAAAGGCCCAAAACTTAAAGGAGATGTTGATGTGTCAGTTCCAAAAGTTAAAGGAGACATTAAAGCACCAGAATTAGATATCAAGGACCCAGAGCTTGACTTTGAAGGACCTGAAGGAAAAATCAAGGGTCCCAAATTCAAGATGCCATCAATCTCTGGTCCTAAAATCTCTATGCCAGATGTTGACTTCAACCTTAAAGGGCCAAAACTAAAAGGTGACATGGATGTGTCTGTTCCAAAATTGGAAGGAGATATTAAAGGACCAAAAGTTGAAATTGAAGGCCCAGACCTTGAGGGACCTGAGGTTGGTTTTAAGATGCCAAAGATCAAAATGCCATCATTTGGCCTTAAAGGTCCTAAAGTGGAGGGCCCAGATGTTGACATCAATCTACCAAAAGCAGATATTGAGCTTAAAGCACCAGATATGGATATTAAAACTGGAGAGGTTAACCTTGAGGGACCTGAGGGCAAAATCAAGGGCCCCAAGTTCAAGATGCCATCAATATCCGGTCCAAACATTTCTTTGCCAGATGTTGACTTCAACCTGAAAGGCCCAAAACTCAAAGGTGATGTTAATGTATCTGTTCCAAATGTTAAAGGAGACATTAAAGCTCCAGAAGTAGATATCAAGGGCCCAGAGCTTGACATTGAAGGGCCTGAAGGAAAAATCAAGGGCCCCAAACTGAAGATGCCATCAGTATCTGGCCCTGAAGGTCCTAATGTTGAGGTCAATATTCCGGAAACAAATGTTAAAAAGCCAAAGTTCAAGATGCCAAAATTTAAAATGCCAAAATTTGGTTTTAAGTCACCCAAAGGAGATATTGATGTTAATGTGCCTACTAGTGATGTCAGTATTACATCACCAGACATTGACATCAAAACCCCTGATCTGGACATTGATGGACCTGAAGGAAAGATCAAAGGTCCCAAGTTAAAAATGCCTTCTATGTCTGGTCCAAAGATCTCTATGCCAGATGTAGACTTCAACTTGAAAAGTCCAAAAGTCAAGGGTGATATGGATATCTCTGGACCCAAGATTGCAGGTGACATAAAGGCTCCCAAAGTGGACATGGAAGGTCCCGATTTTGATATAGATGGGCCAGAGGGTGGCTTGAAGATGCCTAAATTCAAAATGCCATCATTTGGATTCAAAGGACCTAAAATGGAGGGCCCAGATGTTGACTTCAATATCCCAAAAACAAATGTTGATGTCGAAGGACCTGATCTTGATATTGAGGGACCTGAAGGGAAAATAAAAGGTCCCAAGTTCAAAATGCCTTCAATGTCTGGCCCAAAGATATCTATGCCAGATGTTGACTTCAACTTAAAAGGTCCAAAACTGAAAGGTGATGTTGATGTGTCCATTCCAAAAGTGGAAGGAGATATTAAAGCACCAAAAGTTGACATTGAAGGCCCAGACATTGAGGGTCCTGAGGGTAGTTTTAAGATGCCAAAGATCAAAATGCCATCATTTGGACTTAAAGGTCCTAATGTGGAGGGCCAAGATGTTGACATCAATCTTCCAAAAGCAAATGTTGACGTTAAAGGACCAGAAATTGACATCAAAACTCCTGATCTTGACATTGAGGGACCTGAGGGAAAAATCAAGGGCCCCAAGTTCAAAATGCCATCAATCTCTGGTCCAAAAATTTCCATGCCAGATGTTGACTTCAACCTGAAAGGCCCAAAACTCAAAGGTGATGTTGATGTGTCCATTCCAAAAGTGGAAGGAGATATTAAAGCACCAAAAGTTGAAATTGAAGGCCCAGACCTTGAGGGTCCCGAGGGAGGTTTTAAGATGCCAAAGTTCAAAATGCCATCATTTGGAGTTAAAGGTCCTAAAGTAGAGGGTCCAGATGTTGACATCAATCTCCCAAAAGCAAATGTTGATGTTAAAGGACCTGAAATTGACATCAAAACACCTGATCTTGACATTGAGGGACCTGAGGGAAAAATCAAGGGCCCCAAGTTCAAAATGCCATCAATCTCCGGTCCAAAAATGTCTATGCCAGATGTTGACTTCAACCTGAAAGGCCCAAAACTCAAAGGTGATGTTGATGTGTCCATTCCAAAATTGGAAGGAGATATTAAAGCACCAAAAGTTGAAATTGAAGGCCCAGACCTTGAGGGTCCCGAGGGAGGTTTTAAGATGCCAAAGTTCAAAATGCCATCATTTGGAGTTAAAGGTCCTAAAGTGGAGGGTCCAGATGTTGACATCAATCTCCCAAAAGCAAATGTTGATGTTAAAGGACCTGAAATTGACATCAAAACTCCTGATCTTGACATTGAGGGACCTGAGGGAAAAATCAAGGGCCCCAAGTTCAAAATGCCATCAATCTCCGGTCCAAAAATTTCTATGCCAGATGTTGACTTCAACCTGAAAGGCCCAAAACTCAAAGGGGATGTTGATGTGTCAATTCCAAAAGTGGAAGGAGATATTAAAGCACCAAAAGTTGAAATTGAAGGCCCAGACCTTGAGGGTCCTGAGGGAGGTTTTAAGATGCCAAAGTTCAAAATGCCATCATTTGGAGTTAAAGGTCCTAAAGTGGAGGGTCCAGATGTTGACATCAATCTCCCAAAAGCAAACATTGATGTTAAAGGGCCTGAAATTGACATCAAAACTCCTGATCTTGACATTGAGGGACCTGAAGGAAAAATCAAGGGCCCCAAGTTCAAAATGCCATCAATCTCTGGTCCAAAAATTTCTATGCCAGATGTTGACTTCAACCTGAAAGGTCCAAAACTCAAAGGTGATGTTGATGTGTCCATTCCAAATGTGGAAGGAGATATTACAGCCCCAAAAGTTGAAATTGAAGGCCCAGACCTTGAGGGTCCTGAGGGAGGTTTTAAGATGCCAAAGTTCAAAATGCCATCATTTGGAGTTAAAGGTCCTAAAGTAGAGGGCCCAGATGTTGACATCAATCTCCCAAAAGCAAATGTTGATGTTAAAGGACATGAAATTGACATCAAAACTCCTGAAGGAAAGATCAAAGGTCCCCAATTCAAAATGCCTTCTATGTCTGGTCCAAAGATCTCTATGCCAGATGTAGACTTCAACTTGAAAAGTCCAAAAGTCAAGGGTGATATGGATATCTCTGGACCCAAGATTGCAGGTGACTTAAAGGCCCCAAAAGTGGACATTGAAGGTCCTGATTTTGATATAGACGGCCCAGAAGGTGACTTGAAGATGCCTAAATTCAAAATGCCATCATTTGGATTCAAAGGACCTAAAGTCGAGGGCCCTAATGTTGACATCAATCTCCCAAAAGCAAATGTTGATGTTCAAGGACCTGATCTTGACTTCGAGGGACCTGAAGGGAAAATAAAAGGTCCCAAGTTCAAAATGCCATCTATGTCTGGTCCAAAGATCTCTATGCCAGATGTTGACTTCAACTTGAAAAGTCCAAAGGTCAAGGGTGATGTGAATGTCTCTGGACCCCAGATTGCAGGTGATATAAAGGGTCCAAAATTGGACATCGAAGGTCCTGATTTTGATGTAGAGGGCCCAGAAGGTAGCTGGAAGATGCCTAAATTCAAAATGCCATCATTTGGAGTCAAGGGACCTAAAGTGGAGGGTCCAGATGTTGAAATCAATCTCCCAAAAGCAAATGTTGATGTTAAAGGACCTGAAATTGACATCAAAACTCCTGATCTTGACATTGAGGGACCTGAAGGAAAAATAAAAGGTCCCAAGTTCAAAATGCCATCTATGTCTGGTCCAAAGATATCAATGCCAGATGTAGACTTCAACATGAAAAGTCCAAAGGTCAAGGGTGAAATTGATATCTCTGGACCCAAGATTGCAGGTGACATAAAGGCTCCAAAAGTGGACATCGAAGGTCCTGATTTTGATGTAGAGGGCCCAGAAGGTGGCTTGAAGATGCCTAAATTCAAAATGCCATCATTTGGATTCAAAGGACCTAAAGTGGAGGGTCCAGATGTTGACATCAATCTCCCAAAAGCAAATGTTGATGTTAAAGGGCCTGAAATTGACATCAAAACTCCTGATCTTGACATTGAGGGACCTGAAGGAAAAATCAAGGGCCCCAAGTTCAAAATGCCATCAATCTCTGGTCCAAAAATTTCTATGCCAGAAGTTGACTTCAACCTGAAAGGCCCAAAGCTCAAAGGAGATGTTGATGTGTCAGTTCCAAAAGTTAAAGGAGACATTAAAGCACCAGAAGTAGATATGAAGGGCCCAGAGCTTGACTTTGAAGGACCTGAAGGAAAAATCAAGGGTCCCAAATTCAAGATGCCATCTATGTCTGGCCCAAAGATTTCTATGCCAGATGTTGACTTCAACCTAAAAGGTCCAAAACTTAAAGGGGATGTTGATGTGTCCATTCCTAAAATGGAAGGAGATATTAAAGGACCAAAAGTTGAAATTGAAGGCCCAGATCTTGAGGGTCCTGAGGGAGGTTTTAAGATGCCTAACATCAAAATGCCATCATTTGGACTTAAAGGTCCTAAAGTGGAGGGCTCAGGTGTTGATATTAAAGGACCTAAAATGGACATTAGAACTCCTGATCTTGACATTGAGGGACCTGAGGGCAAAATTAAAGGTCCCAAGTTTAAAATGCCTTCCACATCTGGCCCAAAGATCTCTATGCCAGATGTTAACTTAAATTTAAAAGACCCCAAATTCAAGTGTGACGTGGATGTTTCTGGACCAAAGATAACAGGTGACATGAATGCTCCAAAATGGGACATTGAAGGTCCTAATATTGATATAGAGGGCCCAGAGGGTGGCATAAAGATGCCAAAAATCAAAATGCCTTCATTTGGAATGAAAGGCCCTAAAGTGGAGGGTCCAGATGTTGACGTCAATCTCCCAAAAGCTGGTTTTGATATCAAAGGACCTGAAATTGATGTTAATGCTCCTGATCTTGACATTGAGGGACCTGAGGGGGGTTCAAAAGATCTTAAGTTCCCAAAATTCAAAGGGCCCAACTTTGGAATAAAGTCTTCGGGTGGAAGTCTTTCAGTACCTGAAAAAGATTATAAGGCGAGCAGTGATATTAACATTAGTGGACCAGATGCTAACATCAAGGTTCCAAAAACCAAGAAATCTAAATTTTCACTTGGAGTTAAGAGCCCAAAATTGAATGCAGACATTCCTGATGCTGGTGGTAGTTTAGATGGACCTGATATGAACATAGATGTAAAAGGAAAAAAGGGTAAATTCAAATTGACCAAAGGGAAAGGGAAGTCCAAAACTTTTGATGGTGATCTGAAGACTGAAGTTGTCAAGTTGGAGACAAATGAACCTGATTTACAGTTGAAGTCAACCAAAGTAAAGAAACCTTTTTTTGGAAAATTACATTTTCCTGATGTGGAATTTGACATTAAATCTCCAAAAGTTAAAGGTAGTTCTGCATCAGGAACTATTAAATCATCTGATGTTGATTTGCCGTCTGCAAGTCTTAAAGCTGATATTCAGACACCAGATGCTAGTTTGGACAATCCAGATTTCAAAACAAAAAGGGGGGAAATAAAAATGCCAAAAATCAGCATCACTGGCTCTAAATTAAAAACTCCTGAACTGGATGTTAGAGGTGGAACATTGGAGACCTTGCATTCCCCAGATGTCAGTGTAGCAGGATCAGGCATTAATGGAAAAGGCAATGCTAAAATTGATATGGAAGGAAAAACACAGGGGACAGTGCAGTCTGTAAATGTCCATGGCGTGGCTTTAGATGCTGATTTAAATCTCACTGAACGAAAAGGAGTAGAAGGGAGCATTGAAATACCAGGTTTCAATGTGAAGGGACAAAAGGGAGTGGCTGCAAGTGGGTTAGACATGAAGCCAGAAGCATCATTATCTGGGGTTGGGTACCCAGAAGGTAATGTAACCTTTCCTAAAATCAAAGTGCCAAAGTTTGGTGTTGCATTGCCTAAAGTAGAAGGAAAAGAGATGGGCGTAGATGTAGGTTCAGGTGAATTGGCTGCTGGTGTTAAAGTTAGTTCCCAAAGTCTAGAAATGCAGAGCACTGAGATGAAAAGCAGTGGTGGAAAAATGAAAGTCAAAATGCCAAAACTGTTTTTCAAATCTAAATCTAAAGGTGGCAGTGCAGCTGATCTTTTTGTTGAGGGAGAAGATGCTGATCTTACAACTAAAGGTGGCGCAAATGTGTCTAAGGAGTTAAGTCTTAGTTCTGGGGAATTGATAAGTGGCAAGTTGGCAGTAGAGGGAAGCTCTGGATTTAAGGGTTCACCAAAGAGTAAATCCGCCTCCCTTGATTTTTTCAAAAAAACACGACATCACTCCTCTGTAGGTGATGAGGGAGGTTTAGCTGTCCCTGTTGCTCCTGAAGGGCACTTACAGGCTGAGGGTGGCAACATTTTAATAGATGGTGAAGAAACAATGATTAAAAGCAAAAAAGGAAAGTTGAAGTTTGCAACAATTGGAGGTTTTAGCTCGAAAAGTAAAGGTTCGTATGAAGTGACAGATGAAAGTGAGGTTAGGATTGAGGGTGCTGGTGGAGTTGCTCAGCCTTTAAAGAAGTCCAGAATGTCGTCGTCATCTAGCAGTGATAGTGGTTCAAAAGGTAGTTTTCGGTTACCACAACTCGAAATAGCCGTTTCGCCAAAGAAATAGTTTTTTACACTAGTATATATATACACAGTACACTCACTTTTTTTTTTTTTTTTCATTTTGTTGACTACATGCAAATCTGTCTTTCACTTAAACAATAGTGCACTGTTTCTTCAATTTCCACAAATGTTCTTTACAGGCATTGATATTTTTTGAATCACAATTTAACTGTAAATAAGAGACATCTGTTATGTAATTTTAATTCTTTTGTTTTGTAGATAGGAATTTCATGTCCAGTCCAACAATGTGTGTAGTTGATACAAAATATTCTGCATGTAGCTTTGATTTGTCATCTGATAACTTGTTATATTTTTATACCATTGAAAGTTTTGGGATTCTTGTCCTTTCTAAAATTGTCTGGATACATTTACACACAAGAGGCATGATTTTACAATAGTTATATTTGAAAGGATTTTATGACTTCAACTTCTTTTATGCATTTAGTGATGTATCATATGTACTCATCACAGATCAATAACTGATTACAACAGTGATTAACCAGATATAATTTGTAAGCACAATGAAGTTTAAGGGCTGTACAAACTGTAAATAAATTGATTCAAAATAGATACATTTGATAACATAACATTGTCTCCCACATAATATAACACTTCAAATATTATGGAATTTACACAGAGATTATAATCTTCTAAAGTATTTATATCTAAGACTTTCTTTTCCATTGATTAATTGAATCTCTTTAAAATGCACACCAGGTAGCAGTTGACAAACAAAAGCTGCAACTTGTTTAATTTTAATGGTTTCTAAGGCATTTTACTCTTTGTTATATCTTCCACATTTCTTTACATCCAGTTGACTCTCTCTCTTCCTCTCACTAAATTTATGAAATGTCGTGCTTTAATGTGGGGATATAACTACAGGGAGTCTAATGCCAATGGTTAAACATTAATATTTTGAAAAGACATAAAATGTGCTTTGCCCTTGTAAATAATGGGACATTTAGGCTTCAAGTTTAACTCTTTCATGTATGATTTGCAAAACTTAAATAAAGTGATCAACTTTCAATACATGCTTGTGGTGAGAATGTTACTCTTTTCATTTAAGTCTTATATGATGTAAAAACGGTAAAACCACACATAGAACTTGCTTGTTCGAACATTAACTTCAGGATTAAGATCTCTAAATGCCTAAAAATAAGACTGCATTTGGTTAACCCTGTTAAATCTAACCATTGTGCTTTTAGCTTTCTATGAATACTTTGATAAGAGCCGACACCAAGAAAACAGGAAATGGGCTTTCCTGTCCTGCATGGTTCTTCAAATCATCACTAAGGAAGGAAATGCTCAGGAAATTCCTTTAAGGGAGGAAAGTGTGGTTTGTTTTGTATGCAAATATTCGTTAGCAGAACTGGGATGAGCAACATGCACGCATTCGTTAGTTAACTTGAAATCTTTGACAAGGAACTTAAGCTGAGAGGAATACAGGCAAAAAAAGTTGTTGTTTTTTCTTTCTTTTTTTTTCTGACTTCATTTGAAAGGTAAGCCAAATGATTTTCTTTTACTATGCAATGCTACTGACCTATTAGGTGGATATGCACTGGGTTCATTTTCAAATTCCCAATTTTTAGTGATACGGACCGTCAAATTTTATGAGAGACGAGACAATCTTACAGAATTTATTAGAATTAAACTGGTTTCAAATTTGTGTGCTTGGTATCATGTTATTGCTTCATTCCAAGACATGCCTTTTTATAAATCAAAGCCAAGATGACAATTATGACTATGATAAAAATAATAATATTAAATTAAATCGATAGTTAAAAAAAAATAAAGTATTAACAGTGCATAAGGGCCAGGTTATTTAGTGTTGTTTAACATTAAATGCCCCTCTTTGTAGCATATTGAATTATGAGATATGCAGGTAGAAATAAACTATCGATATTTTTTTTTTTTCTGGTAAGAAGATGTTTGTGGATAATACAACGAACAGCATTCTAGGTTGCTGAAGTCTCTCGTATCAAAGAGGACACAAACAGATGGCGTCCATGACTCCTATAGGAATAAGAGGAATGGACTTATTTTAGTTCATACTGTTTTACAGCAAACCCATAAAGCAAATATACATTTTATGGTGGAATTCTCAAACAAAATAATCAGCAATATGGATTTCTTAGTCCCTTGGCACTTTAAAGACTTAGATCATTTAAAAATGTATATATTTAACTAATAAAGGCTGATATGGCCTTAGATGTATATTTTGGATATATGGATATTGAGTAGCTACTGATTTAAATTGGATAAATATTCAACCTCACTGTTTAGTTATGGATCTTTAAAGCTATTTATTTAAGATAAATCGTTGTAGCTTGAACACATTTATTTCTTATATCGATTCAAATGATCTTATTAATAAGATAACAGCGTAATTTGTCTACTGCAGTGCTGTTGTTTCATGGTTGTATTAAGGAGATGCCTTTTATGACAGTCCAGTTACCCATGTAAATACTATGTACTTATTTTAGTAACTGCAATTACTGGGTAATAACTAGTACTAACCCTGAACCTACCCCAAAACCTACCCCTGTTCCATGTACTTATTAGCCAGCACTTTCTAGGTAAGTACATTGTAAGTACACTGTAAGTTCTGTACCGTAAAAGGAAGCGTTACCGACATTTGTAATGTTTAAGTCAAACAGCCATTATCTAAAAAAAAAAAAAAAAAAAAAAAGAAAGAAAGAAAAAGAAACATCAAAAAGGCTTCAGAAGGACATCATGGAATAATTGTATAGTTTCACATTATTCACCCAGACTACCTGTCAGTGTAGCTTCAAATGAGATTAGTGTGTGCAACCAAAGGAAATTCATCCATCCTACATGCCCTCCACCCCCTGCTGTTCACTGTTTACATAATGCATCAAGGTACAGAAATTTGTAATTAAACAGTCTCACACAGCTGGGCTAAGAACATGACGATGGCGATGGAATTTTGCTGTAGTACTATGTGCATTGCACAGATCAGATGATTCTTTCAAAGCCTGATATCATGTTATAATTACAGTTATACATGTTTTAGTGTACTTTGTCATTGTCTCAAAACATAAGATTATTGTAATGTTTAATAACATTTGATTTAGTCACCAAAACACAACATGATTTTTCAATTTAGTGTTTTTAACAAGTAGTTAATTCAGTGGCAAACAATGCAAGATCATGTCAAATCACCCTTGTTACTGAGATAATTACAGTTATAGAGGCTATCAACTGCAGAACAAAGCTCTGAAACAATAAGATTTAAACTATTTGTAAACTCTAGTTAGTTTCAGATAACATGAATTTACAATGAAAAATCAAATAGCTAATTCAACATTTATTAACACATCGTTCAAATTAAAATTTAGATAATGGATCTGAGCTAACATAAACTAACAATGGACAGTTGTACTTTTATTAAACAAAGATTTAACAAATGCATTAGTCATTAGTTGGGGTTGGTTAATGCATTAACTAATCCCAGGCAGCAATATGGTGTTTGCCCAGATCCGTCCCACATCTGGTACACGTGGATTCCACACATACCAAATGTGGGCTGAATCTGGGCCGACATTATCTTAATGTGTTACCAACAAAACCATATCTAGTAATAAAATCTGACGCAGACCAGAGAAAAATAGAAGAAAACTTGGTTCTGGTACTTCATTGATGATGTGATGCGTTTCACCTTAAAACAATATCTATCACTCTCGATTTCTTTGATTTATTTTTTTATTTTTTTATGTTTTGATTTGCAAATTTGTCTGAGGCTCAATGCACCTCCATCACACTAAGGAATGAAGCAAAGGGAACCTCTTCACCATAATGGATACCATAAAGGACAATGGTATCCATATTTTGAGCATAACAAAAGAACCATGAACTGAAGGCACTGCACATGAATAAATCATTGACTGTATCTGCAGTATGAGACCAGCAAATCTTTGGATACAAATAGATGCAATGAACAATATGACGCACACTGCAGTGCATTTAGATCCACCTTTATCATAGGAAAGGATAAAAAACCTCAGCTACAGAAAATGAATTAATGCTATCACATCCATGTGTGCAAACATCAGGAAATATTAGTGATATTTTTTTTTAAATTTTTTTAATGTATTTTAAAAAAAATACACATGCAGAATTTTATTTTTGTCTTTTTTTAGGTTGCGTGTTGTATTTAAAAAGTAAAATAAGTTCAGAATCAGAAATAAATAATCATATTATCATATTAAAACAAATACACCGTTCATACAGACTGTTTAAGATACTGCTTGAAAGATGTATGTATAGGTTTCTTAATACAGCATTCTTATTGCGATTCATCAGCATAGTACACAGTCAAATACTGTAGACGTTTCCTGAAAAATTATTAGAGATGAAGGCTGTGTGAGAAGACATGTCTATGTGCATGCGTGAGCGAGAGAGAGCTGGAGCGAGGGAAAGAGCATGTGTGCACACATAAAAGAAAGAGGCAGAGTGTGAGTGCGAGCGCAGATGATGCTGCTCGTGGAAGGAGATGGTGCTGGTTTTGGCGTTTCTTCCTGTGCTACAAGATTTCCCCCACTAAGGTTTGACCTCTGCGTCCTGTCTGTTTGGCACCTCACCTTCTTGGGTAAGAGCTGTTCCTTTTTTTTTGCTGCTGGAATCAGATCAGGCTGCTGTGCTGTGACCGTTCCTCATTTTTTGTGTGTTTTTGTGTGTGTCGTATGTGCAGAGAGACACAGAACGACAAAGGGAAGGGAGGAGGGTGGAACAGGCAGAGGATATCATGTGTGTGCTATAAGTAAGGACAAGGAGAAGACAGAGTTGGAGAAGAGGGGAAACAAGACACAAGACAGAAGCTGCAGACATCGTCTCTTTTTTGGCCAGAACCTGAAACAAAGACAAAAGAGGTAAAGCCTCTGAAGCCGAGACTCAGACGTTCTGCTTCGTTATTCCTCGGATTCCATGTGCCAGTGCGATTGAGGGCGAATAGGATGTCTGTGTCTGGAAAAAAGGAGTTTGACGTGAAGCAGATCCTCAGGCTCCGCTGGCGCTGGTTCAGCCACAGCACTCAAACCTCAGCTGGGAATGGGGGCTATATCCAACAGGAAGGTTTCGACCACCGGGGAACACCGGTCCGGCTGAAGAGTCACTCTCGGGACAGAGGGGGACTTCGCAAGAGCAACAGCCCTGTGCACAGCATTCTGGCTCCGAACCCTGGACCCACGCCTGTTTATGTCAGGCCGGGCAATGAATCGTGGCACCAGCAAAACATCATACAGCACCTCCAAGCTAGCGAGGATCTTCCCAAGAGCAACTCACCTTGCAGTGCCAGGAAAGAGGAGGCGAAGAGCAGCCATGAGGATGCGAAGAGCAATCCGGAGGATCCCTCTGAAGAAGAAGCCACAGACAGGTAAAAAAATAAAAAAATAAATAAAAAAAGAAGCTCAGTGCAGAAATAGAACAGTGTGTGAAGAGGTGCCTGCTGTTGTCAGCTAACACATTCAAGCGGCTAAGTTTTGCCTGTAGGCATAAAATACATGCCGTTTGTGGATGAAAATCCCATTTTTGCCTTTCATGGAGTAATGAAAACAGACAGTACGGTGCTGAGAGATGAGCGAGGTGTTATTTTGGCACGAAGTGGATTTACGGTAAGCCCCAGGGAGCGTCGGGATTGAGAGCAAGTACAGTATTTAACTGTCACTTTATTTGAGCTCATTACGCTAGTGATATTCTCTCAGAAATGACACTTTGTTTTATTTTCATTCGCCGTGTTTCCAGTGCTTAGGGCCGCCGCTTACACGTTGGTTTGGTCTTCAGAGAATATCATTTTTCAATCAACTCCACCATTGCAGCTGCCACCACAGCTCACCTGGGAATAGTTCATTCACATGGCATGCGGGTTGTAGAAACACAGCTCTGAAATATCCATGGATAAATTATTCATCAAGCAGACATCTCACAAAACACAGAGGAAAACATAGAGGCGTCTGGATTTAGCTGGCAGTATAACACATTCTGTAAGCCGTGAGGTGGTTCGCTCTTCATTTTAGCAGCCTGCATTTTCATAACCTGAAGCTGGAATGTTTCACGGCTTGTTAATGCATGCATCCTCTGCCTTATAAATGTTACAGAGAGTATACCATTACATCAGAGACCATTGGCGCAAGGGCAATAAATCTGGGAAGGGCAACCGGATAAATTATCTATAGTGGGGATGATATTTACACATCAGTGCAGTTCAGAGAAAGAGAACATTTAATTTTCTTGCGCCGATCGATCAAAATTTATGAGATTATAAAGGCCTACCTACTTCCACAGATAAGTTTCAATTCACATATTAAGTGCTGGATGTTTCAAAGAGAAAGAGCTTGTTTTTTTCCCCCCCACCAAGTAGCTCTGTCTAGTATAATGTCATTGTAGTGTAATGAAGTAAACATTTTCTCAGATAAGGAAGTGGAGAGACTGACCCACAAATGATGATGTCATGAGAGATAAAAATCAAAACACACTCTTTTCTTAAGAAATGTTTCAACATAAAGTACAGTACATAAGATTCTACACCCGATCAACAGTTGTAGTCTTTTATGCTTATATGCTTTCATACTGCTTTGCAGTCCTAATTTATGTATAAGTAGCTACATAAACTATAACCGTTCATCAAGTGTTTGTGACAATATTTACATTAAATTTAAATCTTGGTTAAGAATACTTGTACTTGTTTATTATAGTGTGCCAAGTGAATCAAATGTAATCAATATCATGATGTGCTGATTGATTAAACATAATTAATCAGATGTGTATAAGCTGTGAAATGCACCCTAATGAAAATATAAATGCATTACATTAAGCAATAACAGATTCAAACACATAACAAATTCAAAAACACATGCTTCTTACATGGGTCAGAGGGCATTAAATACACAACCCGATCTCACGACCAAATCGTACGAATTTGACAAATGATTAAAAAGTGGCTAATTCTTAACAATTCATATGACCTCACTTGTAGGAATTAGTACAATTTTGCTAAATCGTACATATTTTACGAATTGGCCAATTCGTATGAATTCGTATGAATGACCTACCCCTTACCCCGCCCCTAAACCAACCCATCACGTGGGTTTAGACAAATCGTACGAATGAGGTCGTACGAATTATCCACTTTTTAATCATTCGTCGAATTCGTACGAATTGGTCGTGAGATAGCATAAAAATACACTTATTTTTCTTCCCTTTTAAAAAATGTAATTACAACATATTTTCTTTTGTCAAATCAACTTTATAATAATTTATTTAGTTGAGATAACTTATTATTTTGAGTTTCTGATGATGAAATTAATCTCCTTCATTGTATTAACTCACTTTTTCCAGTTCAATCAACTTAAAATTTTAAGGCAACCAGGGTTACTTACTTTTTTAAGTTAAATCAACAATATTTTTTTACAGTGTAGTTATCACAACATTTTTTCTTTTGTCAAATCAACTTAAATAATTTATTTAGTTCAGATAACATATAATTTTGAGTTTCTGATGGTTAAATCATTCTCCTTCATTGTGTTAACTCACTTTTTCCAGTTCAATGAACTTAAAATTTTAAGGCAACCAGGTTACTTACTTTTTTAGTTAAACCATCAATATTTTTTACAGTGCAGTACTGTAGTCTTTCCTGTAGCTCACATAGTAGAGCATTGGCGCTTGCAATGTTAAGGTCATGGGTTCGAATCCCAGAGAACTGATGAGAATGCAAATGTGTAGCTTGCAATGCAATAAGACGCTTTGGATAAAAGCGTCTGCCAAATGCATAAATGTAAATTTAAGTAGATGGCCATGGGTTGGTACCTGCTGAAGCTCTGCTATAGACACATCTTTCGCGGATATTACGATTCTATCAATATTTCAGTGTGGTTTCGGCCTTTTATCTTTAAACAGTATGGTAATAGAATCAATTTGGGTCAAATACAATAAATAAAATGGGTAAACCCCGCAAGATATTGAGCCATCTTCACGTCAGTCTTATCCGCATTGCTTCTCTATGCAAGACATGAACTCTCAAACATCAAGTTTTGACCCTTTAAAAGCTCATGTTAATTACTTTGCTAGTCTGAAAGCTTTCTTTGTGTTATAGTCCTCTGCACTGATTGATATGGTCTTGTGAACTTAAGTACCATGACTTCATTCTTCATCTACCATAGAAAAGACCTATTTTCAGACTGAAATGACATTAGCTGCAACATTAAAACAAATTGCAAATGTAATCTTATACACTAGAAAACGATTAACCCCTGAAAACCTGCTATGTTTTCATGAGCACCACAGTGAGGCTATACATTGTGTTATGAATATTTAATCAGAGAATTAGATAAAACAAAAGAAATTTGATCTCTTAAGACTTCCTCTTCGTGTGCTTTAAATAATACCTCAGAGCCTCTAGGTATACAATGATACATCTGCTGTTACATATGTTTGTTATTCTGTGTTTTTCTTCCCAGTTCTTTTATCACTTTTCATTTAGTATGCGTAAATAAAGCATAAATTTGCCCTACAGGCACAACGTGATGGAAATGAGGCCTTTAATGTGCTTCCAGACTTGGGATTTTGTTGTGCATCTCTGTGTGCGAGTTAATAGTGAGATCAGACCTAGTTCCCAATTGTACGTTTTTACCCAAAAGGCAAAATAATGACTATTCATTATTTAAGCATTTTATTTTCCTGTGAGACAATCATCAGTAGGGGAGAGCTAACTGAACAGGAGGTGGTAAAGCATTGATAGAGTGCAGTCATAAATCAGAACAAGAGAACAGGTATGTAAAAATAAAATTATTAGCAGTCATTATTTATTTTTTGGTCTCATAGGTTGTTATAAAACTCATTTAAACACAGAAATGTTCCATATCTTTGACACGGTGTAACGGTTAGGCTTAGGTTTCCATTCCCACTTCCGTTTGCTGTCCTCTCTCCATTTGCAATGCTAATAAAATGGTGATACGGCTAAGTAAGAGTTATTGACATTCAAAGTCTCAAAACAAATGCACAATTATGTTAACTTTTAAATAAATTTAGACTTAATACATTAAGAAGTGTCAAACATGTCATGCCTAATAATGCAAGCTATATAAAATGTAAGAGAAATTAATCTGAAACAACACCCATAGATTTCATTACCAGTAAAACGTCAAACTGGTGGAACTTCAAAATCTTGCGAGGCAGCCAAGGCAGTAATGAATAAAATATTTTAGGAAATAAATTAATCTGGATTCAGCCTGGAAGCCATATCACTATGGGAATTGATGAAAACTGCTGAATACTATGTTTAGAATGTTTCTTTCGATCTTCTGTAATATCGAGGCTGCTGACCTGCTCAGCATAAATAATTCAGAGGGTTTAATGAAATATCTATCTGTTTTAGTATTATTTGTTCAAACAGAAAGCGAGATGAAGAGGCTTATGACACATACTGAAATTGTAGTGGTCATGGTGATTTTGTAATTATGAACTGAACCAAATAATGTTAGTGGAGAGCAGACTGGTATCCCAAGCTGAACTAAGTATTTGTAGTAACCTAAATGGCTATGAATAACATTTTTTTGGTGTCTTTTTCATTAAATTTAACATCAAATACAATATCTTACTTAATCTAACATGTAGAATCTCTAGTTACAAACATATGGTCTTTTACTACAGACACTCATTTCGAATAATAATAATAATCTGTTTCTGATCTTTTCAAAAAACGGAGAAAAATGGTTGGTGTCCTACATATCCCTGCAGGTGTAAAGGGCTTAGTGCCCTGTCAGTGATCTGTGTTACAATTTCTTCAATAATTTAACTAGCGGACAGCATGCTGCCTTGCAAACACTGTTATGCACACATTAATAGTTCTTTTCAAGCATTCTCATGAAATCACAGTGGAGAATCGTCTTTGGATCAATGTTTTTTTTTTTTTTTTTAAACCGCTAATTGTCTGTATGACCATATATATTACGACAGACAAGAAAACGTACTCGGTTACATATATAACCTCAGTTCTCTCTAGAAGATGGAACAAGTATGCTTTCGATGCTTTCGGGAAACGCACCCCAGTTCTCATACGACATCATCAGTAGGCTACAGTGAGATCAATAATATTGTTGAATATTAAGTGTCCCCACTAAGCAAGCTAGTGCCCACAGTGGCAAGATATTGGTAGTTGAACAGTCCTTGTAAAAAAAATAAAATAAAAATAAAAAAAAGGAGGAGGAAAAAAGACCACCCCTTTCTTTTGATGAAATGCTGTCTATAAGAGGAATTCTAGCCCTGACCCTTTAATAAGGAAACAGCAGAGACTTGAGTCAGCAGCTGTTACGTTGAATGATATCTCAATTTCCTCTCAATTGCCTTGGAAAATAATGACACCATCTTGTCCTAGGATGA